TGTTTTGTGGCTGAACATGTGATCTAGCCTGAAAAATGTTCCATGTACACTTGAAAAGAATGCATATTCTGCTGCTTTGGGGTGAAATGTTCTAATAATAATAAGCCTCTCTGATCTAATGTTTCATATAAAACTACTGTTTCCTTGTTTATTTTCTGTATGGAAGATCTATCCATTGATATAAAGTGTTAAAGTCCCCAACCATTACATTATTACTGTTGATCTCTCTCTTTATGTATGCCAATATTTGTTTTATATATTTAGGTGCTCCTAAATCGATCCCTTTAACATAAAATGCACTTCTTTGTCTCCTGTTAAAGTCCTATTTTTGAAGTCTATTTAGTCTGATATAAATATTGCTACCCCAGCTTTTATAAAATTTCCATTTGCATGAAATAGCTTTTATAAAATTTCCATTTGCATGAAATATCTTTTTCTATCTCTCTACTTTCAGTTTGTGTGTGTCTTTCAATCTGAAATGGGTTTTTTGTAGGCAGTTTATGTATGGGTCTTGTTCTTTATCCATTGAGCCACCCTATATGTTTTGATTAGAGCATTTACTTCATTTACATTTAAAGTAATTACTGATAATTATGTGGTTATTGCCATCTTATTGTTTTAATAGTTCTCTGTTGTGTTCTCATTCTCATACTCTTCTTTTGTGTGTTGATGACTTTCTAAGTGTTGTATTGGACTCCTTTCATTTTCTTGTGAATCATTTGTAAATTTTTGGTTTATGGTTACCATAGCTGTGTATTTTAAATTAATGGTCTCTTAAGTTCAAATATATTCTAAAATCACTTCAATTTTTACTCGCCTCCCTCCACCTTTGTTTTCATCATTATTTTTTTTACTTCTTTGGTGTGTTTTTGTTTGTGTATCCCTTAATTTATTGTTGTAATTTTATATAGTCTTCCTACTTTTGCCTTTGTATTAGCTTCATAGTTGGTTGGTCCATGACTTTGATTGTTTGCCTTTTAAGTGATTTTTTTTTTCTTTCCTATTTTCTTACTCATTTTATTTTATTTATTTTCTTCTTTTCAGGAAGTCCCTTTCTCATTTCTTGTAATACTGGTTTAGTGGTGATGAACTACTTTGGGTTTTACTTGTCTAGGAAGCTGTGTATCTCTTCTTCAGCTCTAAATGAGAACCTAGCTGGGTAGAGTGACCTTGGTTCTACATCTTTGTCTTTCATCACTGAATATTTTATGCCTATCCCTCAGGGCCTGCAAAGTTTCTTTTGAAAAATAAGCTGATTTTCTTATGGGAGCTCCCTTGAACTTGGCTGACTGCTTTTTTTTTTTTTTTTTGCTGCTGCTTTTAAGTTTATCTCTATGTTTAACTGTTGGCATTTTAATTATGATGGGTATTGGCATGGGCCTTTATGGGTTCATCTTGTTTGAAACTCTCTTGCTTCCTGGATTTGTATGTATGCTTTCTTTGCTAGGTTAAGGACATTTCTGGTCATTATATCTTTAAATAGGTTTTCAAACCCTTGTTCTCTCTCTTCTCAGAAGTGCTTTAAACCATCTTAATTTTTTTAAATTATTTTTTTTCTTTTTGCTCTTCTGATTGGGTGTTTTATGCTACCTTGTCTTCCAAATCACTGATTTAAATGTCTGCTTCATCTAATCTGCTGTTAACTCGTTAACTCTCTCTAAGGAATTCATTTCAGTTATTGTATTTTTAATTCCCAACTGGTCATTTTTTGTGGTTTCTTTCTCTTTGTTGAAGTTTCCACTGAATTAACCTATTCTTCCCCTAAGTTCATTGAGCATACTTATAATTAGTGTTTTGAATTGTGTTGCTGATAGAGTGCTTGACTCCATTTTGTTTGTGTCTATTTTTTAATTCAGGACATGTTTCTGTGTGTCCTCATTTTGGCTGCCTTCCTGTGTTTGTTTCTATGTATTAGGTAGATCTGTTACATCTCCCAGTCTTGGTAGGATGTCCTTATGTAGTATGTAGTACGTGTCCTGTGGGTGCCAGTGGCACATTCTCCCTGGTCACCTGAGCCAGGGTGTCCTTTGTGTATATTCTCCTGTTGTAGTTGAGCCTTGATTGCTGTTGACATGTCAGTGGGTGGGACTGACCCTCATGTTGACTAGCTAAGACAACAGTGGACAAGCTGTTGTGCAAGGATAACCCCATAGAGATACATTTGCTTTAGTGGGTTCTGGAGCCTGCTGAGTCCATCCTTGGGTATGTCATTTGTGGAGCTGGTTGCCTGGTGTTCTGGTGTGGTCTGAAGCTGGACACAGGATGTGTTGGTTCTGGGCTTTCTTGAGAGGGTTTCTGATGTAGGCCAAGATCATCCATAGTGAGTGCCCGGCCTGGGGCCACTTGGTAGGAGCTAAAAAGTGATCTGTGGTTGGTTGCCACTTATGCTGGGTTGAGAGGTGACAGGGAGATCTATGCTATGAAACAAGGCAGGCTGCCACTAGTGCTAGTATTAAGTCTGCTTCGCAAGAGGTACGCTGCACGCCAAGGCCAGCGGTAGCTTGTTTGGGGTTTGCGGACCTTTGAGAGATGTTAGACAAGTCAGAAGCCCAAGCTGAGACAGCCTGCTTGTATGAAAAAGCCACTGGAAGAGGTGCAGGCCAGTCTTGATGTGGCCTCTTTATACTTTTAGTTCTAGGACTTCTGTTCAGCTAGTCTTCAGATGATGCTCAGTGATGGCTGTTCTGTAATTTAGTTGTAAACTTGATGTGGTTGTGGGATGATGTGAGCATGGCATTTACCTGCTCTGGCATCTTGACCCAAATTCTCTAGGACACTTGTATTTAGAGGCTCTGCTCCCTGTCCTTTCTCCCTATCTGATATTCCCTTAAAAGTAAAATTTATTTTTATACATGTTTTACCTCAATTTTGATATCAGAAAAGGTATGATCACCTCATTCACACTAAATCAGGACCCACAAATGCCTGGCACATAGGCCACCACCAGTCATCTCTAATCTATCCTGCGACCCCGGCTGGAAGAGATCATTGACTAACACATTTTCAAGTGACCTCTTCCAAGATCATTTGCATCTTAGCAAAGGATAAACCCATTCAGCCAGAAAAGTGAGCTCATTATGAACTGACAGGCAAGCTGTGAGCACTTCTTAGCACTGTTGAATTTAAGCCACAAGGACTCATCACCAGGCCAGTGGAGATTAAATAGTTCAATGAAAGCCGAAATCTGTTGTTTAAGCAGTTATTTAAGGGCTGACCCTCTGGAAGTGTGAGCACCGCTCTCAGACTTCGGCCGAATTGTGCTGAGTAAGGCAGAATGGATGCATCATCTGGAGGAACTTCCAGGCACTATGTCCAGATTAACTCAAGCACACCCAGTGCTCATCCCCATTAACTTCCTCATGGATCTTTATTGCCAGGGGATCTGGGACATCAGCAATATTTCAAACACTAATGGCAGAGGTACAGTTGTATCTGAGTAAAGTGGTCTTTAAGAAGAAGATTTTTCTATATTTTCCCCCAAACATTTCCAAATTGCATTATAAGTTGCTTTTATCTAAAGTACACATCTAAGGCCTTGGCATGTTGTAGCAGTTGTCTTGTCCTAAGCCTTTTTTGGGGGGAGAAAATATAAGATCTCCAAAACTCTTCCACTAACTCTTTCGCAAGCTATTTAATAGAAGTATATGCCATAATAGTATCTATTTGAATTCTTTAGGCAGCTCATAAGTAAGGGTATATACAATGTGTATTGATATCAATTAGATCTTTTCTTCAGGGTATATACAATGTGTATTGATATCAATTAGATCTTTTCTTAGGTCTGTTGCTTAATTTACTTGGAAAAACTAGGAGCCTCTCAAAATTGTGAAAGCAGTGAGCACTGCATTCTGTCTAAGAGATTTTAGGGTTACACAACAAAAGACACTATGGAGACGGGAAGACCAGCGGAAAGAGCATATGCTCTGGGGTTTGGCAAACCTGGAGTAGATGCTACCACACTGATGACCTCAGGTGTATTATTTAACTTTTCTGAGGATCTCTTTAAAATGAGGATACTAATAGCAACATCTCATTAGAAAACCATGAGAACTGAATAAGGCAATCTGTGTACAGTACTTTGTTAGACATATAAATACTAGATATTTTTCCTAACCTTTGTGTCTAAATTAATGGGCAACACAGTATTTGTTTTACTTATCCACTCATTTATTCAATCCACATTTATCAAACTTGTGCTCTGGAAAATATATCAATAAAATCGAGTAACTAGACTTCTTCCTTTCCCTCCCACAAAGTCCTTGTGGTTTGGTAGAGGAGGAGGATGTTTATACGAGTAGCTACTACACCAGCACAGGGTAAATGCTTCAGGGGAGGAGGCATGAACAAGTTATTCTAGATTTTTTATAAGGAAGTGTTGACACTTAAGTCTTACTGGGGAGAACTGGTAGAATGCCAACAGCTAATGCTATAAAAGTCATTCTAGATGAATGGAATGTCAGCCATGCAAGCCAAAGCGTCCTTGTGAAATCAGAAGGTGCCATTCTAGGTTCTTTTAATGGAAAATTTTAATAACAAAACTTAAGAACTAGAATTACTTAGAGTAATGTCTCTCAGCTTTGGCTGCATATTAAAATTATTTGGGTACCTTTAAACATCTAGACAACTTGACCCTACATAAGATTAATTAAATCAGAAATCTCTGGGGCTGGGACCCAAGTATCGGTCCCCTGGAGATGTCAGGGGGGTGCTGCCAAGCTGAAAACTAGTGATATAAATCAAAATACTAAAAGGGGAAAGTCTTGACCAATGAATGGACTCATGTACCTTCTGATGATTTTTGAAAATCAACTAAATATTATTTCAAATGAGGCCTATAAAGACAATGATCTCCTATTCCAATGATTCAACAATTTTACTTTTGGTGATTATTTGTGGGTTCAAGCGTTCTGTTATAATGGCCAGTGATCCTGACATGTTTCCCCTTAGTGTAACATGCCACCCATAAAATTATGGAGTATAAACTAAAAATTAATACTTACCAAACAAGGTAGGAAGTAAATACTAGGAAAATCATGATAAGGAAACCACCACCTGAAACACCATAAACCCAAATTTTTACTCGGCCATCTGTTTAAAATAGAGATAAAATAACAAGCTTAGCATACAAAATCTTTATCACTCATCTGAATTCTGAGTCTTGCATAAGTCATAAACACGCAATTGTGACAGCTATCAAAAGTTAGTCTATCAAAAAAAAAATCCAGTGCTAAGCAAACACTGACAATCATTACTTCATAAAATCTAACAGCTGGCAACCTATTTTGAAGTGTGTATTGTAAAACATCTTGACCACATAAATAGAACAAAAATTATAATTAAGACACAATCCTGCATACAATGAGAATGACTATGCCCATTTCTGTGGTTTTGCTTCCTGCCATTCATGACCAAATAATCTAATCTAGTTACCAAGTTACTGTAAAATTATAACTATATGTGTACAAATATACATTATTTTAGATTTTATATTTGCTGGAGTTAAAGAAAAATAGATTAACCAAATAATTTGATCAGTTTTGTGACTTCCATCTAAGCCATAACTTGGGTGTATGCATTTTTTTTTTCTATATATAATAGATATTTAACTTGTTTCTGGAACTTTATATGAGCACATAAAATCAAGAAAAAAAAATGCTAGTTAACTAAATTTAGAATTTGACTGACAAAGGAACTGTAGTCCTTTCTGAAAGATATACCTACACAGAAAGTTCATTATACTACGTGAATGTAATTAACAGCAGGTTTGAAAAACAGATATATTAGCATCTTGTTCTAAATGTTTCTGTAGGAATAAAAACAATCAAAATCTGTTGTAAACAATATTTCTTTGGAATAAACTCATAATTACATTCAATTATATTATGATCACATATAATCGTTTTGCTTACAAAACACTTTGAAGCCTCAGCCAGGTTTTAGGATAAGGTTTCAATGTAGTTATAGTTTTCTATGTTCAAAAGTCTTTTTATAAAGCTTTGATTCTGATCTCTTTGAAACACTAATGATGAAATCCCCTAGTCTGAGTTTTTTATATTGATGAAAATGTACCTTTAATCTTACTACCCCCGGACCTAACAGAGTTGAAGAATTGTGAGAACCCAGCACTTTTTAAATCCCCAGTAGAGAGGTGTGTGGTCAATGACCTATAAGTATGTTACTTAAAAAAGAATATAACTTTTTATAACATCATTATGAACAGGGCCAAATTTCAAACTATAAAAAAGATATGTAGTATCCTGGCTGGTTTGGCTCAGTGGTTAGAGGGTCAGCCCATGGACTGAGTCGCGGGTTCGATTCTGGTCAAGGGCACGTACCTCAGTTGCGGTTCGTCCCCAGCCCTGGTCAGGGTCGTGTGGGAGACAACTAGTCGATGTGGCTTTATCACATCGATATTTCTCTCTCTCTCTCCTTCCCTCTTCTCTGTCTGATGATAAATGGAAAAATATCCTCAGGTGAGGAATTTAAAAAAAAAAAGATATGTAGTGAAAATAAGTCTTCCTATCACCCTCTCAGTTCCCTACCTGGAATCTATCCCTGTTACCTGGTGAATTATTTCAGTTTCTGCAGAAGCAAGCACAGGTACACACAAATGATGCATATCATTCCCTTTGACTTGTACTTATTTTCACTTAAAAGTATGTTAGATTTATTTAAAAAATAGATTATGGAAATATAGGATATATATTGCATAATTTTATCATCATTATTCTATTTATACATTTACATTGTAACCACTCGTTTGCTATATAACAAGCCATCATGTAATGAATAGCATTTACATATTTATTTTAGTATGTGTATATATAAATACATATAAATATATAAATTTGTATGCTGAATTGCTAGACATTTTAGGTAACAGTATATGTTCTATATTGCCTAGATTCCCTCCTAGAGGTTGATCCAATTTACAGTCTCATCATGAAAACAAGTTATAGCCTCTTTTTCCAGACTAAATATATATATATACACACATATGTATATTTGCATACATATTATTGATGTTTTAATTAGACCCCCAAAGGTTAAGGACCTCGCTTGTGGATCTGAAGACTCATTTCCTTGGAAATTCACCCTAATTCTCTTCTGAAACGTGGTCTACAAGCAACAGGTGACTCTGGCTACATTTCACGTGTCCTTCAAAGTCAAATAAACTGCTAACTTAGTCACAACATAAATAAGATGTTTTTAAACATTTATGGCAGGCCCAGACATATAAGGGCATCAAAAGCTAGTTAAGACGTGGTCATCCTTAAAAGTTGGTTGAGGAATATACGTTTTGTTTCTACCACAAGGCCTAGGGTTCTTTGGGGCTGGCTTTGGTTTTTGCTCCCTTTACATACATCACCAAGGCACTTTTGGTCCAGCAAAGGTCTAAGGTCTGGCAGAAAAGCTCCCAGGGTATATTTTGTCAGTTTATTCCCTGTCCCATGAGCGATGCCACTTTGCTCCGTCATTAGTAGCATTTGAATTCCTAGAAGAGGTATGTGTGATGGGCAGAGTATCTTGCTTTCATTTTCTGTCTACTTGACAAGGTGGGAAGCCGAGACCAGTGCTATGTAAAGGCCTTAATGACCTGCCTTTCAAACCCTGCCGTCACTTCCTTGTGGTTGACTTTGGTAAAATTAATTTGCATGGGCAGTTTCAGACTCCTAATCTCTAAAATATGAATAATAGCATCTCCTAAGGTTGTAAGAATATAATGAGAAGATTCATGTAATATAACCAACACAGAACCACGGGGTAAACAGAAAGCATCTAATAAATGTTCATTCCTGTTCTGAGCCTGCAGGTCTGTGCTAATACCCACACAAGTCCTGCAGGGTAGGCGCCTTGAGAATGCACCTGTTTCCTCATCTATGATATCAGAGAGGAAGAAATTATACTCAATGACAAAACAGGCATATTCTGAGCCACGATGTCAACAAGGTCCGTCTGTCTTTGAAATTGATGCTCTCTACTAACATGGTTTCACCAGAGTTTCTCAAACCGGATAGAGTCTTTGGACATTTCCTAAGGTATATGCATGTTCCCGAGACTCAATTTAACTTTTTGTTCTTAAGTTATGTATGCATTATCCAACACACAAATTTGAGAAACCTTGGACTAAACCATGGTGTCTCTTTTCTCCGTTCTTTCAGTTGTGAACACTGGTCACAATATGAACCCTAACCCCTCATAAGAAAATTTACATTACTTAACACATAACTGAACGTACCTGGATCAAGGGGTTGAAGAGACCATCCTTTAAAAATATCATGTATTTTTGAATTCACAGGTCTGTTTTTTCCAGCAAGGATTTTCACATGAGCTTTCTTATCCTCTGAGCCAGGAACTTTCATGCAGTAATCCAGAAAACCATTTGATCTCATTATCTCTGTATAGCCCTTCTCACAACCACAGATTCCGCCCTAAAGCATAAAAAAATATTTTTATGGTTATACACTGAATTGTGCAGATGAAAAAGTAATTTAAATGTTGGAATGACTTGACATTTGCATATCTCATGACAATTTTGGGTTTTTCAGCAACGTGTTTGCCAGAGATGAATATCCAATAATTAGTTCATCTTTCTGAATTCCAATGTCAACCCTTAAATAAATCGTCAGCTTTTTTTTAGTGGTTTACAATTCTTACACCTTCCAAATATGAAATCACAAAGAACTTATATGTATAACCCATGAACACAGGCAGTGCAGTGAAGGCCTGGGGGGTGGGGGAATACATCTGTGATACTTTCAACAATAAAGATAAATATGTGTTTTTTTTTTTAATTGATTTTTTTTTAGGGAGAGAGATAGAGAAATATCAATTGGCTTCCTCCTGCATGCCCCCTACTGGGAAACGAGCTGGGACCTCTCAGTCCTTGGGACAACTCCCAATCCACTGAGCCACACCGGCCTGGCCAACAATAATGTTAAATTTAAAAATATATATGAAATCACAATTCTTTGTCATTAGAGGATATTATTCTCTCATGGAGATATTTAAGGCATTTAATCAAATTATCCTCAACTCTTCCAGCTTCCTGCCCATTCGCTCCAACCCGCCCTTGACACTGAGAAGCAAAGCAGCAGACATTATATACACGTCTTCCTTGAGCCCTGCTACAGCCCCCGCTGCCCAGTGCCTCTCATTTGCTACCATGGATCAATAACTGGTCTGAACGATCTCTCTGCTTGTAGGCTTGGTTCTGTATTCAAGGATGGCAGCCAAGGGGAGGAGAAAAACCTGTTTAAAGAACATGACATAACTTTTAAAAAATTATATATGCACTGCACAGTTTGCGGTAATTCCTAAGCAGTGGTAGATGGGAGTTAGGAGAGAAAGATTTCTGCTTTTAAAAAAATATATATGTGTATGTGTGTGTGTGTATATATATGGTGTGTGTGTTTGTAGACGCATATATCATTTTTATCCACAGGCATTTATTTAAAATGAACTAAAAACATAATCAATTTTACTAAATAACATTGAGCAAATCTGAACATGCATTTATAATAACTTTCAAAATAATTTAGGCAGATGAAAGGCTAAGAATCAATGAATAAATCAATGGAGAACATTTATTGACAAACAGAACTTATATAAATTAGATATCTGAAAAAAGATTTGCCTATACATAGATTTATAGAAAAAAGACTGCTTGCCTTAACACCCGTCCCTGCCTTAACACCCGTCCCTGCCAAGAAATTCTTTACAGCTGTGATTACTCCTGCACCTGCCTCTAGATGGTATCGTGGGCACACAGAACTGCTGCTTGGCTCTAGCAGACGGAAGACAGCCAGCAGCATGTGTCTAACATAGCAATTAAAACACTTGTGGACTCTCTGGCACGTGACTCACCTGTGTACAGTACGAGAAAGGTTTCCTGCAGGCTGGGTTACACTGTCGAATTGCAGCGGGGCGTGCCTGAGGGGAGCAGCCTCCTACAAAGGAAATCCCACCATCATTTGCAGATTTTTCTATGATAAACATTAAAGAACATTTCTTTTTTCTTTCTCTGCCACTGACCACTTTGTAACAGTATTATTGTTATTTAACCTTCTGCTGACATGCAGCCCAGTCTTATGTTATTGATCACTCCAGGATGGGTTGTTTGAGAGGGGAGGCTCTGCTAACAGAAGCTATTTATAGGAGATTTTTTATTCCTGCTACTGGCAATGTGATTCTATCGTATGGCTCTGCTTGAAGGTGACGTCTGTGAGTGCCAGAATCAGTAAAAGAATCGGTGAGATCTCAATTTAAGTTCAGGAGCATAAAATGTAATCTGCTTGAGATTTATTCTACATTTATTTTTCTCCACTTCTGGAACACCCCAGCTGGGCACTAGGCCAATCCCCAACAACCAAATGCTAAAAGAAGGCCACTAATCAATTTATGGGAACAGAATATCTAACACTTGGGCAACATTTTTAAATATATATTTTAATCAGGATACAGATACACACAAGCCCTCTTACCCCCACACTTATTTTTAAGAGCAAATATAGAAGCTCCAGGAGGGGCGGTCATATATCTGACACAGTACTCATTAAATTAATATTAAATTAAGTGACTAAGTGGATGGAAGAACACATGCCTTATCTCAAAATCACTTCACGTTAGCCTTGCCTTCCTGGACTCCAAGTACTAAGCAAAGAAGTTGCATACTATTTGAGGGCAGTGTTTAAACCTTATTTATAATACTGGTCGTATTTACAGACTGTAGCCTTTACCTTACTATAATTATCAACTAGTTATATTTTGTAGCTAGCAAAAGCTCTGAATATAAGCAGTGTAGAGGACAGTCAGATCTAGTTTCCCTGAGAATGAAGCAACCATTCTTTACTATTACTTGGAAAAGAAAATAATCCACACACACAAAATTTTGGTGGGGAGTTATTAATTTGGACATTAGTGGCAATAATCACACAGTCCTGTTGCTACCAATTGTGCCGGGAGGGGCTGATTTATCCTCTTTAAATCAGCGATGCCCATGGTACAGGAGGGGATCTCTTGGGAATTAAGAAGAAAATGTTTGAATTTATATAGTTCATACAACACTTCTGTTTAAAGAATTAAACTAAACTCGAATAACACTTAGCAGATGACGCTAGTGACCTGAGCTCGTTCGCAGACGTCCGTCCACCTTGGGCATGAAGCATAGTGCAACCAGCGCCACTTCAACTCTCATCATACCGCAGAGGACGGATGATGTTTCCTGCTCAGGTTGACTTACACTGTATTTAGTTTTCACCATAACTTATAAAATGTACAAGTAACCTGGCCAGTGTGGCTCAGTGGTTAAGCGTCGACCCATATACCAAGAGGTCACATGATCAATTCCAGGTCAGGGCACATGCCCAGGTTGTGGGCCAGATTCCGAGTGGGGAGCATGCAGGAGGTGGCCAGTCCATGTTCTCTCTCATCGATGTTTCTATCTCTTTCTCTTTCCCTTCCTCTCTATAAAATTAATCGGAAAAAATGTACAAGTAGCGTAAAACAAATTGAATAAACCATGGATTAAAGGGAATATCAACAATGCAAAGACAGAGCTGATGATTCCCCACACAATAAGTTTTGTCAGCCTGGTACCAAGTAAAAACAATGGCAATTTAATTTTCCCTGATAAGAAGGCATCAAAAAGCTCTTTAAAAAGGCATAAAAAAAAAACCTGAGAAGACTATTTGTAGATCAAATTGTATCCATCATCATGAATGAGGAACACTTCCCTCAGTCTATATTTAGATATTAAATAATAATCATGACTGGCACAATCTTTAATATCTAAGCTTCCAGTGAATGGCTATAAACATCTATAACTTGCAGCAATTTTATCACCATTAACAAATATATATTTTGTATACCCCAAAAACATTTTAATTTCAATTTCTGTGCATTTTATAACATATAAGCACATAATGTGGGATGTAAGCTTATATATGAAGAAAAGTCCTCAGAAAACTTTTACTAAGAAGGTACATGATTCAAAACTTTACAGACCATTGTTTTAAGCTATCACCTCTCTTTTTCAGCTTGTCTCAAGATTGATATTTAAGAAAAAAATATTGTGTTTCAGCTTATTTCTTTAAGTTGTCTATATATTATGGGTTTGAATAGAATTGTTTGCTTTCTGAGATGCAAAGATGTAATGGCAATTTGACAAGGAGATCATTTAAAACCATCTGTCCAGTCTTTCTTTGCTTATAATTAGTAAGCTAATTATCCTCACAAATAGCAGCGCTCAGAGATCTTTTGGAGGTACCACATGACCCTTAGATAGGAGTACCTGTGACATTAATGCCATCTGAACGTTGGCACCATACAGTCCGTTCATTGTTGTTCCAAAGACTTGCTTTCCATGTGTAGTGATAACATTTGCCTCCTGCAAGCAAATATGATAACAGCAGTTTTATTCTCGCTGACAGGGAAAAAGAATAAGCTTAAAGCAAAGGACTGAAAAGTACCCTTGGTACCTGTACAAGAACGTGTTTCTAGAACCTGCTGGGGGCAGCTGTCTTGGTTTTCAAAAGACTGAATTATGAATGTCCTTGACCTAGATTGGCGGCCCACTGTCTCGAAGCTTCTTCCATCGACGCAGGTTAACTCACACGCGCTCCACTCGGACCATTCCGTTAGGTGGCAGTCGCCTGGATGGTTGTGCAGAACAGAGTGGGGAAGACAAGACGCACTTGACAACATTTACGTGGACAGGTTCACAGTGAGATTCATGGTGGTGGGGGTGTAGTGACGGGGTGGGACCCAGATACCAGACATTCTACTTTGACCAATTTTCCAATTAGAAAGTACTAAAAATGATGGATCATGTATGGTTTAATCCACTTTAGGAAGGCAGTGCCGAAACTAGATTGGCATTACTTTGCTTCAAATCAGAGTCTTATCTGGAGAACACTATGTGTCTGCTAGTGGTGATAAACTTTTTTAACGGGAGACGTAGATATTAAAGTAACTAAGTTTTCAAAGAGTGGCATAACATTATAACATTGATGTTCACAGAAAATATAGAGAGAATAATTTGGTCATTAAAGTGACTCTCTAAAGAATGTCGAATTTCAAACCTAAACATACGCACACATCTGTGTGTGTATATGTACATATGTATATAGATATGCACGTATGTATATTTTACATGCCACATTATAAGCCATCTTAAACTTATGCTGTGTACCCTAAGTTATTAGAATCAAAATAAACTCATACATTTTATGTAACTAATGGTGACCTTCACAGTTACGTAGAACATGACAGTTTGACAGTATTTTCATAAACAGATAGCCTCGCTGGTCCCTACCATGCCACCCCCGGAGGCTCATCCACTCATGGCTTCAGTCAACATGTTTGGAGTGTGGCCAATGTGCTAGGTGCTGTCAGGTCAGGTATTAGTGACACCTTTTCTAGATGGATCAACCACTGCTCAGAGGGACGATACCCTATGCCCCAGGTCAAACAGCAGGGAAGTGATACAGACAAGATTCGAACTTAGCTCTTAAAGGTCCAAGTCAGTGTTTCTTTTTTCCCTCTTGCCTCCATTGTCGGTACATCCCAAAGTTATAACCACAATTAAACATGAATTAAAGTTAAGTAAAAGCTTCAATGTTGATGAGATAGAGCTTCTTCAGGGAAAGCTAATAAGTAAGAAGAGCACCTTGGAAGGCACTCCCGACTGTTGAAAAACGCATACCTGGGCAGGGCACAGAGCACAGCTGCTTCAGGATGCCATCGGGAAAGGGCATATCTTTGCACTGTGCCTCCTGCACACGCACAGCGGAGTCCGAGATGGAGCCACTGTGGACCACACAGGAAAGGCTGCGGACCTGGACTCCTTCCCCACAGTCTCCACCCTGGGAGAGGAAAGGACACAGTCAGAATCACCCAAATAATTCATTTTGGTTCCTGCTACCTCTTGTTCAAAAAAAAAAAAAAAAAAAGGAAACCTGAGCTGTGTATTTCAGCAGCTGCCTTCTCCGGGGAGTTCTCTCTCAATTCCTAACAATGAAGCATCACTCAGCAATTCGCTGAGAGCTAACAGAGCAGCTGAAGAAGAAATGCAAATTTATGCCATGAAATTCTTCTCTTAGAATATGACCATTCATTTTAGAACTCAGACACAATTGACTGAAAAAGAAAGAAAAAAATACATAATTTGTCTAGGTGTGTGTGATAACATGGCCTAATCCATAATCAGTCCCCCAGGAGAGCATGTTCAGCCACGGGGCATCAACTTCTCTTTTCCTTTGCTTGTTTTTCTCTTGTAGGGAATTCAGTACTTCTCATATGGATTAGATTGGGGTTTCCAGTGCAACAATGATTTTCTATATTGCCAAGAGTTGTTTTCCCAGCATGCCTTCTGTGATGAATAATGTTCTTTGAAGATATTTACAAAGCCCATTCAGATTACTCCTGGCAATTAGGAAGAAGCCGAGCATTTCACAGAAGCAGAAGCCTAGAATTGGAAGGCTCTTCGTGGTTACCTGGCCCAAGCATCTCCTGATGGAGTTTCCCACCATAACACTGTTGTCAGATAGTCATGAGGTGAGTCTTCTTTCTTCAATTTTAGGCAGGTACTCGTACTTCAAAAAGAATTCCATTGGATGTTTCGATAACTTTAGATGATAGCTCTGTTTTTACACAAATAGCTTAAAAAAAAAAAAACAGAGCCTAAGGCAAGCTTTTCTGTTAAGGAGGTGAAATCCCAGGATGGCAAGCGTGAGGGGGAAACACTTGAACCAAGAATGGAAGGAAAGCAAATATAAGATGGTGTTACCAAGCTGGCCTCCACTTCCAGAGTCAGCATAGCTGCTTTCGTGGCCACCTACAGCATCTTTCAGACCTGCCACAGGGGCTCGCCTTTAGCTAACTGCCCATGAGGGGGTGAGGGAGAAAGAAGGGGGAGGTATTTAAATGCCAGTTTCTCCTTGGATCCTCCTCCTCGTCTGTCAACTTTCATCTCAGGGTGTATAACTACTCTGTGCTCCAAGGTGTGCGACTCCATTTCCCGTAAATCCAGAAGTTGGAGGAGGTAGAGCCTTTATGACTCCTGCTGGTGTGGTTGAAGCAGGAGGGGGAGAGGGACAGAGGGACAGAGAAAGGGAGGGGGTGGGGGGAGAGAAGTGCGTGAGCCTTTGCACCTCTGTTCCTGCAGTCAGGGATGCTACATGCTACAGCCCACGAATCCATTATCAGGCAACAGAGTGGTGACTGCGCTGCACTGGGAAAGTGGATCTCACCACCTTACCCCCATCTATCACAGAACTCAGAAATAAGTTCTCAGAAATGCACTGCCCGGGCCTTGGAGCTACCATGGCTCTTGTAGCGGCAGGAGGAAAAAGGGCAAGTTGGTCAGCTAAAGCAGTCAAGACAGTGTACGGGACGTGGGACAGGGGATCCGGGGGCAGAGGGGCCTGCTGAGCACTACCCAGGTCAAGGCAGAGTTGCAGCAGCTACTTCGTGTCAAGACAGGTTGTAGATAGACCACTGGAGGTGCAGGACGGTACACAGTGGCTGCTGAGACAAGTCCTTATATAAGGAAGTTAGGATTCAAAGACATATTGGCAGAAAAGAAAAGGTGCAATTCTGAGGAGGTCCACATTTTAGGAACTAAAGCCTAAAGAATCTGAGTTGGCACATAAACTGGGACTATCACCTCCTCTTCTAGAGATGTTTTAACAAGAATTATGATTTATTTATCTCAGATGGCAATGCCCATGCTTGATTTATCAATACCCCATAATTGCTCTAATCATTTCTACAGCTGTCCTGAAATTGTCCCCAAAATGCACCGACGTTGGGCCTGTGTGCATTTTCTCGAAGAGAAGTGGACGTTGGAAATCCGTTCACAGCAGATTCATGCAAAGCAAATGCTGTGGTACATATTTATGCCCTGACGTGGAAAGTAACTAGTGCAAGTTAGATGTCATGGTGGGAGGTCTCTTTTACTTACTCTACCAGAGGGATCTAAGAATTGTCTAAGGTGCGCGTTCTGCAGCAGAGGACCAGACTTTGTGTACTTGGAGACACGAGTCTAAAGATCCAGCAGCATGTATGACATTTGAAAACACTGCCATCTGGAATCTGAGTAACAGAAGATGCGACTGATTCGAGTTTTGTTTGACATTCCAGGAGACAGAGTGTAAGGAAATGTCAGGACACAAGTCTACATCAGGGGTCACTTTAACAACCAAGACAAACGATAATATGCCCCTAGTAGGTATCTACATTCTACCTAACCTCTCACACCTGTGACAGCAGCAGCAACCACGTGAAGGTGCATCGGCATCAGAATGATAGTTTCACTCAGAAAGCAGGCGTTTGCTCACGCTGCCCCCAGAGGCTTACACACTAGGGCCTGACAGCGGAGCCTGGCTTTCTAGGGCAAGGCTGCCAACAGCAAGGATTCTCTCATTAACTCTACACTGTCCAGATCATTAAAAGACTTTTGTATACTCTTAATTGGCATCACCAGATGTAGATAGGCAGATGGTGCTAATAATCATAATTATAGTTTTAATCAAAACTCTAATAGCAATTACAATTGATGAGCTCTTTTCTTTTTTTTTTTTTGCCAGATACTACGCTAAGCACTGCATATGGATTGGCTGATGCCTACCAAAAATCTCCAGCAAAATGTGTACTTCTGCTACCTCCGTGGTATAGATTAAAAAACAGATACGTGGGGGAGCTTAGGGACTTTGCAAACATTGCAGAGCTAGGAACTGGCAGAAAACATTGCTTAAAATTAGGCCTGCTAGACTCCAGAGTCTAAGCTCCTAAAACAGATTGACCAATGTATGTGTGGAGTGGCTACATGCTCAGCTGAGGAATTGGAAAAGAAAGAGTTCGAAAAACACTTAAAGTGAAGCCCAAGAATAAACACTTTATTTGCTGATCTCTTTCCATATAAGGTAAGGGCAAAATTGGCACATCAACAGTGCCCTATGCAAGCTCCTCTTATGAAGGGTTGATGCTTCTTGATGGCAATCAGCCACTTGGATGTCATCACCACCCCAGTGAACGAGCAGGTGCATACCTGCATTTGGCAGGTTAGGCTACGATGGGACAAGCAAGTGAAGTTGAGAGAGAGAGATGACTTTCCTTTGTGGCCAAGGAAAATGTACTTTGATTAGTAATTCCAAAACCTCAGCTTGCATGTACCTTTAAGAAAAGACAACTCACTGAAAAGATACTGTGCTTTCTGTCTCACAGAGAATTCACAATTAGGCTTCAGGAGAAGCAGAAATGCAATTTGAACTCAGGAAAAAGTAGAGTCAAATATCATGATCCCCTTTCTCTTTTTGCCTCTGCCTCTCTGTGTGTTACTTTCCTTAATCTTTCCTGCTCCTGAGGGCCTGGCTTTATCGACGAGGTGGCCAATGTGGCAGCTAAGAGTTCCTGAAAACAGCGTCAGTGAACAGCTTCAGTGCCATTCCTCATTCTCAGGGGACAATGCTGATTGGCCCTGCTGGGTACGGTGCCAAAACGATTAACTATACACTTGTTTCCTAAGAGCTTTGCCCCGTTCCAAGTTCTAATTCCAAATCTTCTGCTCTCTGGACATGTCAGTTAGTGGGAAAAACCTCACCTAGAAATCTGAGGAGCTCTGGAGTTTCCAGATACACCTGCTCTTGTGGTCTGTAGGGCCTCCCAGTCTGGGTATTGCTAAAACATACCGCAACCATACCTTTCTCACCAGCACTGCCACAGGGAACATGCACAACCCACCACTTCTGCCCCCATGATTCTGCCAAGAGCTCAGTAGGAAACAACAAAAGTAAACATTGCACTTGGCATTTCCCCATTAATGTTCCCATGGGACAATTTGATGGACTTGTCTATAGAAAAACAAATCCCAGAGCCCTGGCCAGTTTGGCTCAGTGGTTGGAGCGTCGGTCTTTGGACCAGAGAGTCCTGGGTTTGGATCCCGCTAGGGGCACGTACCGCCCCCCCCCCCAAAAAAAAAGTAAAAAAAAAAAAAAACAGAAAGAAAAGGAAAGGCTCATGATGCCCGAGAAGACAAAAGGGAGAGAGAACTAGACAGAAGCACTAGTGAGGGACAGTCACAGCAGTGTGCCTGGGAAGACCTTGAGCATGGGGTTTGTCAACCCTCCCTCCCTCTGCAGTGGGCTCTTGAATTCTTTGAGCTTATTTTCTCTACTCTGTCGACATTTATTGCAATTATAAAGATAAATATTCCTTTTGTTCTCTTAATTGTGATTCCAAGCATTATTTTAAAATTGCTGAAGTAGATTAGGAAAGAAGATTTCAGAGTGGCAGACAAAGTATTCATATTTGAAGCCATTAAGTCAGTATTGAATTACTTAGCATGGTTGCCTTATTTTCTGTAAAAAGGAGACTGAACAAATGTACCACGTTTGTTCTTCTGGGACTTATTACAATACATGGGCATTTAACTTCTGCAAGATGATAATGCTGCAAGACAATGTCATCTGACAGGAACACCAAACATCTTTATGAGGATACTCTGCAGATTTCTTAATGCATAATCCAAAGTATTGTTACCTAATTAGAATAAGCTTTGGAATAAGAACCAGAGAGTATACTAGTCAAGTTGAGAAAACCAATGTGTTTTTTCGTACACAGGAAGCCAGGGAGAAAAGGCAGTACAGGATCTTTGCTGATCCAGCAAAAGCTCTCAGTCTGTGATATATGATGATGTTTTTAGGCATTTATATTTCAGGCCAATAAAAAAGTAATCATTGAGGAAAATGTAGTAGCTTTGGTTTGTGTAATAATGTTAAAATACAACTTTCATACACTTTTGGTTTTCTGCCTATACGCAAGATTTCGTCGGAGCCTAAATGTACCTCTTTAAGAAACACAGTCTGCAGCAAGCTGCACATTTCCATAGCATCAGTGTTTTGCCTAATTCAATAATATTTTGATATTTGCAACAAGCCAGGAAAATAATAGAGTTCTTGAGGATGCCAAGGAGATTGAAAGTCCTGTGACCCTGCCTATGATCAGTACCTAATGAATGGCTATGTATTTTCCTAGCAACATCACTCTGCTTGAGGTTAAATCACTCGATTGTATTTTCCCATGCACTCCATTGCATAGAAAAAAACGTCATGCCAGGCCCTGCTGCTGTGGAATTTATCCCGCCGTCACGTAGGTTTGTCCAGACAAGTGCTCTGGACGAACTGAGAATCATCTCTCTTAAGTCTCATTACATGACCCACCTCCAATTTGCATGCAGACCAGTTGCCGAGGACCCAGCTGTAGCAGGGGGTCACTGGACAGGTTTTCTGCTGGGTAAGCTCTGTGGGGCATGGCCGTCCTTCCCCTTGGGTTGGCAGCATGATAAATCGAGTCCGGCTCATTCGACCTAAAATGTTAAGGAAGATGTCAGCTTTTCAGTACAATTTGGCTTAGAAAGGGAACGAAAGGACAAAATGTTGTCTTGCATACGTAAGTCTTCATTGAAATACACTGAACTTTGTCACTGTATTTCTGCCACTTTAATAAGTTTCTACAGAGACACGGGTTATCTGAGGTCTGCATAATGCTTAGCATCTGAAGTCCTCTCTTCTACTTCTTCAGTGTCCCCAAGTACAGACTCTGCATTGTTTCCAAATAGACGAATCCTGTAGACACAGGCAGAATGTTTATTCCTCCGATAACTATGTATTAAGCTGTAGTATCACTCAGGCGTCCTGCTATGTAATAGGGATACAGTAATGAATTTTCCAGGTGTTCCTTCAGCCCTCACAGCAATTATATTTTAGACCAGGATTACAAATATTAAAAATAGAGACAGTTGCCCTGGCCAGTGTGGCCCAGTAGTTGGAGCGTCAACCTGCTCACCAAAGGGTTGAGGGTTCAATTCCTGGTCAAGAGCACATACCTGGGTTGCAGGTTCGTGCCCCAGTCCTGGTTAGGGTTAGGGTGGGAGCCAACAAATCAATGTGTCTCTTTTACATTAATGTTCCTTTCTCTCCCCCCTCCCTTTTACTCTTTCTTTCTAAAAGTCAATGGAAAAAATATCCTCAGTAAGGATTAAAAAAAAAAAAAAAAAAAAGGAGACAGTTGTATCTTCTTTATCTGTCAGGTTCCAAATGAGCAAGTAAGGTAAAAATTACACACAATCCGAATTGCCCTGGGAAATTCCCCTAGTTAGATGCTACCACAAGCTCCCAATAGTTTTGCTCAATTAAGTCCACATGGCTAATTTTCCTAGAGTTTAAAGCTATTTTTTTCCCATTGAATAAAAAATAAAGTTGTTGCCCTATGTGAAGGAGGTGTGCTATTCAAAAACCATGTTCAAATTCTGGTATTCCATTTTGTAATGAAAGAAAAGTGGTTAATAAGAATACGCAAGGAAAGGGCAGGGCTCCCAGTAAGTGGAAGAGGGGATGGAATTCAAGTTTCTGTGTGTCTGTCTCAATCTCTCTCTCTCTCATGCTTTTCTTTACTCTTCTTTTACTGATGAGGTACTATGTGCACAGAGTTTTATTACAGTTATATCTGTGAGTACAATGGCCTCCCACTGTTGTTATAAAATTACTTATACAATTGTATTTGTGATCAAATATTCAAGAAAAAAAATGAAAGTTCTATTAGAGAATGTTATAGGGATGCAGCCCATTCTGGGAATTGGAAAACATTTCCTCAAGCAGTTGAACTTGAAGCTGGATTCTAAGTGGTGCAAGCCAACAGGACAGAGTGTCCCTTGCAGAAGAAAGAGCATGTTAGGAGGTCCTGAGATGAGAAAGAATAGACTGCGTCTGAGGACCCGACAGAGGCCAGTGTGTCTGGAACAGAGGGTCAGGGAAAGAATAGGTTGAGACAATGCTGGTAAAGCTATTAAAAGTGGAGTGTTTGAGTCAATTCCAAAGATTCTACATTTGCACCATAAGAGAACTGGAAAGCTAGTGATGACTCACTTTCAGGTAGAATTCAGGCCCTGGGGAGGAACAATTCTCAGATGCTCTCACGTCCAGAGAGGAGCAAGGGTGACTCACACTTTCAGTGGGGTAGACATCTTACTGGTCACCAGAATATTATCATGAATTTGGTGGCAAACTAACGCTCTCTGAGAAGACCCTTGAAGAAAACCACAAAGTTCTAACCATTGAATGCTAAATTCCTTGAGGTTTTGGGCTTCTGTTCTTAACATGGTTTTTAATTCATATGCTCATAAATTATCTACATATTATCTGGCATCAAAAATATGTGATAATGTAATAATATGAATATAATTATTGAGCAGTTACCACTTGCTAGGCAATATTCTAAATACTTTATAGACACTGATTCATTTAGTAATCATTATAACCATAGAGGAAAATTCTATTATATTTCCATATTATAGATGAGGATACTGAGGTACAGAGAGTTTAAGTCACTTGTCTAAGGTAAAAGAACAAAAAAATTAAAACAAACCAGTAAGTTGCAGAACAGAATTCAAATTCAGAAACTTTTGATCCAGAGGCTGCCGTATTAGTCATGATGCTGGGTACACATAGGTAAGGCAGCAAGGTTAGTACCAAAGAGATGCAAAAGAAATTTTGGGTGATGGTCAAATTGTGTCAAAGATAACATGGGTTTGTTGAACAACAGAATCTACCCATTCTGCATCCTTGGGCATTAAGTGGAATATCTGTGTTTGGACAGATGTTCTTCCTAGCATCACTCAAATCAAATCATATAAGTCAGACATCACCTCATTCATATGAAATGTTATCCCTGTGTGATGAACACATTTGGCTCAAGATTTTATATTAGTTCTTGCTTATATACTCTTCAGTATTATAATAATCTTTATGTTTATTTTCTTGACCTAAACACCCATTACCTTAATGTCATTATAATTGCATTCCCTTCTAGATCCATCTTTGTGAGAATAATGGCAATATAGTGTTGCCTTTATCATAGCTAGAGGCTCTATTTCATATAACCAAGAAACTTCAAGCTTGTTCTTGAATTGATGGCATGTGGATGGCCATTATTTTAGAACTATTTTATTTATTCCATTAAAGTGACTGATATCTTCTCCTGGACATAGGGGTTGAGGGAATCTGCCTAATGGATTCAACAGGGAAAGTAATGATGCTATAACTTTTTTGAAATAATGCAGTCTTAGATCTGTTCATTGATTTCTCTACCTTTTGCTATCCAATCACAAAGGTAAGATTTTCAAACAATGCCACTTACTTCCAAGAACACATTTTTAAAAAACCAAAACACATGTAACAACCCAAAATTTTAAAGTATATTGTCATATATTTAGTTGTCTAATATTAACATTCAGTTAAAAATTGCTACTAAAGGCAAAAAAGTCTAATAGGTAACTCCTGGTCCTGATATGTCTGTGGGGTACTTGATATATTTTAATAGGCTCCTTTTGCTTTTTTAAGTCAGGGTTATATGGTTGTATAAATTGAATAACTGGAGAAAGTATCCCTCAAATTAGACACTTTTTCACAAGTTCTAAAGTTGTAAATATAAAATGTAGTTATATGGAATATGGATGGTATAACAAGGAGGCCTATCGACTCCAAGGAAAGTGGTCAAATACGACCTGAATTCTAAACATCAGCCTGGATGGAACATTCAACCAAACTATCTCTCAGCAAGGATTATTCTAAAAGGGACCCCTAATGGCAGGAGGATGCAGAAATGGTTTTGGTGATAGTAAATTTTTGTGTGAGGGGGGAAACAGTGGAGGTTGTTGCCAAATTAAAGATATTTCAAAATCTGATATAACGTAGAACATAAAAGAAAGAGAATTTTAAAAGAGTTGATGTGTGGTGAAAAGAACCCTGGGCTTGGCATCAAAATCTTCTATTTGCAAACAGTTCTCTCAAATTAACAGCTAGTAAATGAGGTGATGGCATGAAAGTCCTTTAACTCCTCTGAGCATACATTTTCTCTTCTGTAAAAGAAAATTAAGTACACAGGAAGTCCTTATTATCTGAGGATAATTCATGCTGGGGAAAATGCCACTTAAAAGTGAATCTATTTAAAATGGAAATGGAAGTTATTTTAAATAAATAATAAAATGTCTAAATGGGGCATTTTCTGGAACTAAAGAATATGCAAGTAGGTTTATTTCATCTAATATTAGCTACCATGCAGATTATAATTGAGACTATGCACTCATTATCAGGACAAAGAATAAATCAGCTACTGATATTTCTTTCATACTTTTAATTTTATGATTATCCTATAAAGGATCCATTGTGTCATGACTGGCTTGAGCAGTTTGATTATAGCATCTTTGGCCTTTAAGTCACTTTTCATCAATTTTCTCAAGAGCTCCCTTTAATCTCTTGTGTACAGATCACTCTATTTTGTACTCCATTTGCTGCTAGAGATTGAACAACAAATATCCTGATGCAATGAGGATGTTTGTTCACTGGGGATGGTTTTACAAGGGGTCAGTTCATTGCAATGCAGGTGAAGAATGCAGACATGATGTGGACTTTTTGTCCTTATCTCACACTAATTATATAAATTAAAACACATATATAAACCACCTCATAGCATATGTAAAATATAGTAGGTACTTGTTGAAATTTTAATATTTTAAATTATTTTATCAACTATTTTATATCATTTCCTAGAACAAGCCAGTAATGGGTACATAAAGCATGCCACTTGTATACTATTGGGTTTATAATACTTAAAGCACATGACTATGAAATCCGTAATGATTCAGCCTGTTCCCAACCCACAATACCCCTTACACCCTAGTCTGGGCTGCTTTTGCCCTCACAGTAAGTGTGAAGTTTGCTGCCATATATATCCTCATGTTTCCAATCTGATGTTGGGAGACTTTCTTGGGCACTGTCTGGACTTGTTTGGATTCACGTTTTTCAATAGAAACATAATATGGGTCTAGAAATCTATTTGGAACCTAGGAATCTATTTGGAAATCTATTTAATGAGCAATACCAGTGAGCTGTAGAAATAGAAACTGACTCTCTATCCATCTACTCTTCAGGCTATAAAGAAGAGTAAAGCACTCCTTACAAATTATGTTTCCATTTAACAAAAACCCAAATTCCAGTAGGGTAAGTTTGCTAGTAATTTTCTCTGAGCCTTTTTCTCTCCTCTCTTGGGAAATATTTGGAACTCATTATAAGAAACAGTGATATTGAGCCTACTATTAAATTAGCAATGATTACTTGCAAAGAAGGAAAAAGGATTGCCTGGTGAGACCACCAATAAAAATACAAAACAGAAAAAAGACAGTGAAGCATACTAGTTCCCCCCCCCACACACACACACACTTAATTCATAGAGGCCAAAAGATTTAAACCTACATAGAGGTTCACATTTCCATTGAACCCACCTATAGTCAGACTTCACTCTGAGGCCTCA